GCTCTGGGGAACCCAGGCCCAGGGTCAGCACAGGAGGCAGGGGAGGCCAGCCCCTTGGAGGGCAGCCAGCATTGCTTGGAGGGTCAGTCTGGGTGGCAGGAACAGAGGTTGACCCAGAAGGGCAAGAAGAGGGGCCGGGGATGGCGACCTGGAGGGAGTGGGTCTGAGGACTCCTTGGAGGAGGCTGGGCCTGGTGATAGCAGGGGACCTGAGTGGAGATCAGGATCCCAGTGCACTGTACGCGGAACTCAGTGGGAACTGGGCCTTCGGGGCTGTGGGAATGGAGCTGCACCCCTCATGTTCTTGGTTCTGGGCACCTTGACAGACAAAGCCAAGAGGACTGCACCCCCAAACTGGGGTACAGTGGATCTGCTGGAACACCAAGGAAGACAACAGCAGAGTCCCCGACTTAGTGGCACTACTGGCTGTGAGAGACAGGCCCGAGGAGGAACTGTGGACAGGACATATTGGGGAGTCGGTTGTGGTAAAATCAGAGCCGAGAAAAGAGGAAGTAGACAGACAACCCAGAGTTCCTGGCCACTGCGGTGTACACCGACCCCTGGGACCCTGCGCCTTGGAGGACAGGTTAAAAACCCCTCGTGTGATCGAAGTCGCTGAGTTGAACCGACAAGAAAGAAAAGAAAGAGGCCCTTCCCCAAATTGTCATTTATGTGCAAGGACACATCCGGAACCCGCGTGAAATTGTGGAGGAGGGAGGCTTGGGGTGGACGACAGCCAGAGTCCTGAGGAAGTCAAGGGGACAGGAACCTTCTGGAATGCATTTGCACTTGGCTGAGTCAGAGAACCGCCCCAAGGAGAAGAAGTCTCCGGGTGGCCTCCGATGACAGCGAAGAAGGCTCCCGGTGGCCTCCTGGACCTGGCTCAGGAGTGGAAGGAAACACGTGGGAGGGCGGGGCTCACAGAACCCACACAGGTGGCCAAGGTCAATGCCCCGGCGCCCATTCGGAGAAGAAATCTGGTTGTGGGGCTTCTACCCAGAAGGATGTGCCAGAAAGCAAGAGGGGCTCGAGGAGGCCAAGGGCCGGCAGCCCTGCTGGCCACAAGTCGACTGGTGGGAAGAAGACGCATCTGGGGCGGGGATGCTCCCCAAAAGCTGCTAGTGGGACCCACAGACGTCAGGACAGGGAGCTGACCTTGCCATGCAGACCCAGCTGGCCACCGTGCAGACCCAGCTGCTCCTCTCTCCGTCTCCTTGCTGCGTCCCTCCCTCCCTTCCTGGCCTCTAGTGCACCTGACCTGGCCCCAGTACTACATTGTTTACCCAGCTGCATTCTCTAGGGCTGCCCTCACCCTGATCCTGGACCTCGGCCTCCCCCCATCCCACAAGGGTCCCCGCCTGCCTAGTCCCAGGCTCTGTCCCGGTCTCCACCCAATGGTGTCTCTCCACGAATCGCCCTCAGCCCCCTCCAGCTCTGCCCTCGTGGCATCCCAGAGCCACCCACCCCATCGGCCCTCACCCTGGTGCCCACCTGGGTCTTCACCCTGCATTGTGCCCTCCAGCCCTCTAGGTCCAGTTCACACTTGTCCCCAAAGACCTCTATCCAGGCTTTGCCCGGGGCCTCTGCTCTGGCCGTCAGCCTGATAGGCCTTTACTCCCATCTGATTGCAGCCTCATCTGACTCACGGTCAAGCACCGCAGCTACCTGGCTGCCAGAGGGCTCCTGGGAGAAGTCACATCTGACCTCTGGTCAAGCCACTCCATCTCCAAATCCTCGAAAGACTTCTTCCTTTGTCCCCGCAGTTCAAAGCCCAAGATCTTATAACTATCTGCTCTGTCCAACCGGGTAGCCAGACTTCCCTGCAGGGGCGTAATTTGAACTTAACTGTAATTAACTTTCCTCAAATGTCACACTCCCAGGGAGGGTGCCCCGACCACCCTATTAACAGTGCAACCTTTTCCGCAGCTCCTCGCTGGACCTTCAGAGTCGGGCTGCTCCCTGCGCACGGACTTGTTCTCAATGGCACACCAGTGATGCTTGTCAGGGAGTTTGATAGAGAATTGGTGACAGGGTACTGCTGTCAGCGGGTGCAACAAGGGCAAGGGCAGGTTGCCAGAGGTTAGTAACTGCGGCTAGAGGGGCCTAAGGGGAATGCTGCCACTCTGCTGCCCAGGTCCCCTACACAGAGCCCATCTGCTGAGGACAGTCCCAGGAGCTCGCAGCCCACCCCTGTGGCTCCCCCATGGAGCAGCCTCCAGATGGCGACCCCCTCCTCCTGCTTTCCACCCTCAGCGCCCCCTCCACACACAGCAGCCCCTGGCAAAGGGCCCTGGCAGTGGCTGTGGGGTCCTGCCCGCACCAGGGCAGGTGGGCATGGAGGGGAGGGGCAGCAGAACCCCTCAGGTCCAGCTCCCCAGGTGGAATGGGGTCTACCCTGTCCTTGTCTGTCCCAGCCCCAACGCTATGTGTGGGAGGCCAACCTTATGGATGACTGAGTTACACTCCCCAGCTGGGTGCTGAGGCGCTCAGTCACAGAAATGGGTTTGTCTTGCTACAGCCCCATGGGTGGAGCTATGCTCACCTGTTCCTTTGTAATATAACCCCTTGCCCTGTTTAGGGTAGAATCTTCCATGGAAGTGCCTTGTGTGTGTCCCCTCCTCTTACTGTGCCCTTGGGTGTGGCCTACCCAGGTGTCAGTCCACCTGCTGACAGTTGACATCATGAAGATAGACTCAGCCCCCTGAAACCTGACCCCTTGCCTCATTTGAATAGCTTCTCTCAATAAAAGGGGTCAGCGCGTGCTCTCTCTCTCTTTCTTCGGACCCTTAAGGTCAGAGGAGCTGTCACAGAGACCCCAAAGAAAAAGGTATTTGTGTCTCTTGTGTGGTTATTTCGTGCAGCCCAGTCAGCCCATTTTAACTAGAGTGACCCCTGAGCCTTTTAGTCGAGAGAACAGATACCCGGCAGCTATGCCCATCATGCAAAAGCAGCTGACATTTGTTGAATGACTAATGGACAGAATGAACCAGGCTGGGAGACCAGGCCATGGATGCACCAGGTGGGGAATGTTCTAGAACAGCACGGCCCCTGGAGTGAGGGAGCAGAGGGGTGTGTGGGGAGGAGCAGGTGAGGCCCAAGGAGCAGCGCCAAGGACCTGAGGCCGGCAGGAAGCGCAGCGCCAGGTGGGCAGCCCCCGAGGCCACCTCTGTGCAGGTCAGGACGGCAGGGCTGTCCCAGTGGGAGGTCGGCGCAGTCCACAGTCCAGGGTCCCCAGGAACCAACTTCTAGATGAGGACAAGATCCTACTTCGGAGAGCGAGGCCAGCTGGGCAGAGGAGTCCCGCCCGAGGAGGGCAAGGGAGACAGCATTGCGCTCAGGGTGAATGGGGCGCTCTGGGTGCCCTGGGGCGCCCTGCAGAGGTGACCTGAGCAAAGACGCGAAGGCGGAAGGCGTGGGGCGGGTGGCCCCTGGAAAGCGCAGGACAGAAGCAGGAACAGCCAGGGTTAAAGCCCAAGCCAGGCTGTGGCTATCGGGGTTCGTAAACATGGAATCACTGGCCCCTCACATGCCAGGCACAGTGCAGAGGGAGACTGTGTCACCCAAACAAGCCACCTGCCTCCGGATGTGTTTTCGGGGGTGTCGGAGTCTAGTTGAAATGCAGTTTAGAAGGAGAATTTAGAATGGAAGTGAGCATGCGCACTTCAGGGAGCTGGGCTGGCACCCTGGGGAGAAAGACCGGGTCCCCCAGGGTGGGGTTGTGGGGACCACAGGAAGTGAGCAAATCAATTTTCAGGGAGACTGGCTCCACCCCACCCTGGACCGGCAGGCTGAGTATCCGGGTGTTCACGCACCCCTGCCTGAATCTGTTTCCAGGTGGACCTGGGGGTGCCTACATTCGGATGTCCACGTCTTTGCCCTGCAGACTGCCTGCCGGGCACTGAAACTTGGGGGGGTGGAGGAATTCGCCAGAGAGACCTGGTTTATTGGAGAGTCAAGCGTGAAGATGGAGAGCAGGTCTCAAACCTGCCCCCCAAAGCTCCAGTTCAGGGTGTTCATGGGATAAAGAAGCAGGGTGGTCTGGGGGGGATTGGAGGTGAGATCATCTGGTGCCTTCTCATACATAACAACCTTGGTGGCTCCCCGCAGGACGCGTGTCCAGGAATGGGTGACCTTAGGGGTTTTCAGCCATTTGAGAGCAAACACATTGCCCATCAGACAGAGACCGGGGCCCAACACAGGCGGGGTCTCCCTGCGTTGCCCAGGCTGCCCTGGACTCCTAGACTCAAGCCACCCTCCCACCTGAGCCTCCTGAGAACTGGGACTGCAGGCAGGTGAGGCTTCTTCAGTTTTCTCTTGGTCTCATGTCTGGGTGTCTTTATTTGGCTCTGGAAAGAGAAGAGCAGGTTTGGGCCAATAGGATGAGGGCAGGTTTTCCCGCCTAGTTCCCAGGTAAAGAGTCAGGCTCAGAGAAGCAGGGGAGGTTGCTGGAACGCTAGTTTGGCCTGCTCCAAGGTCCCCTCTGGATCTGGGGAAGACTCCATCAACCTGGAGCAAGACTTCTTCCTCGGCCCTCGGCCGGCTCAAGCCGGGAGGGGGTGTCACATGACTTCCAGGGTGAAGCCGTGTTCCAGATCTGGTTCTAGAACTGCTGAAGGGAAGAGGGAAGAGTGGCAGCCAAGGCCTATCCCCGCTGTGGCGCCTGGGCCCCGGGTCTCCAACGCGCTCAAGAGCCTGAGCGAGCTGCGGCTCCCGCAGTGCCCATCAGGGGGCGCTCCACGACCGCTGGTTTAAAGCACACGGGGCCGCGCTCCCCCTGGTCTCAGATGCCAGGTTGCTTTGGGGTGGGGGCTGGTGACCCTGCAGGCGCCACGTGAAAAACCCTTGGATTCTCAACAATAGGAACATCCTGTTACTGTCTCGGGTTACCCAAGGGATCCTTCCACTTCTTGGGCCTCGTTGGAGGCCCACCCTGAGGATGCTGGGGACCGAAGGGCAGAGAAGGCCGTGTCCACTGGAGGGAGGGACAAGCTGAGACTCAGTGGGGGACAGATTTGCCCAACTTTCAGAGCTACTCAGAAGGCTGTAAAAATAGGCCCCAGGAAGAGGGTGTGAAAGCGTAATTGTCTCGAGTTTTGTGGTTGTGTGTGTGCGCACAGGTCCAGCCGTGTGTGCACGTCCTGTGCATGGGTGTAAAGGTTGACATTTGTGGGCTGGGGTGGTGGCTCTGCCGTGGAGCGCTTGCCTAGCACGTTGGAGGCCCTGGGTTGATCCTCAGCACCACATAAAAACAAATGAAGGTATTGTGTCCAACTACAAATAATCAAATATGTATATATATATAAAGTTGACATTTGTGAGTGTGGCAGGGAATGTGTGAGGGGCCTCCCGTGTGTACATGGGGCCCAGCAGGTCTGCATGTCCGAGGGAATGTGTGGGCTCACATTTGTGTCCATCGGTCTGTGCATGTCGGCTGGGTTTTGTTTTTTTTTTAAAGAGAGAGTGTGAGGAGAGAGAGAAAGAGAGAGAGAGAGAGAGAGAGAATCGGCTGGGGGTTTAAGGTGTTTGTGCAGATCTGCGTGTGTCTGGCAGGAGTTGGTCATCGTGGTGTGCGTCTGGGTCTGTGTGTGCACAGACACTTGTGGCGGTAACGAGGGTGTGACCCAGTGTCGCCCAGAGTATCTGATGACTATGAAATCCAGCTTCACATCAAATCCATCTTGCCTGTTGTTAGGGCCAAGCCTTTCCCTTCAAGGACCCCACTGACCCCCAAGACCCGCTGAGCTCTGGGTACTTCAGGGACAGGCGGGCAGCGCCGGCCACAGCATCTGTTCCTTCTGAGATTTCTTCCAGGGTCTCTCTGGGACCCTGCTGTTCCCTTTTACCTTCCAACTGCTCAGGTCCCTACGGCCTTGAGACCACTGTCCTCCCAACTGGGCATCCACAAAGGACAGCCCCATCACCCCGAAGACCTGGTATGGAGGGCACTGCTCAGTGGCTCCGGACACTTGTCCACTTTACCAAGCCCACCCTCCAGGCAAGGCCGCACCTGTCCATTCTCCCAAACCTCTGGGCCTCTTTCTAGCCAGGCTGAGCTGTGAACAAAAGGCCAAGTCCATGCCCAAGGGCCACTCAGGGCTCTGTGTGCTACCACCAGTGACCACCTCCTATCGGGGTGCAGCAGGGAAGAAAAAGGGGCTGGGGTGAGGTAGAGCATGTGCCTGGCACTCTGAGGCCATGGGTTCGTCCCCAGCACCACAAAAAGGGGCAGGGAGGGTGGGCAGGATTTTTACTTACCAGAGATGCTCCCTGGCCAGTTCTGCGGCCGAGTTTGTCGTGAACCCCTCTCTGCAAATACCCTTTGCTCCTGCTGAACTTCAGCAGAGTTGGGGTGTAGACAGTTGCTGTCCGTTTTTCACTGCTAGGGGTCGCAGGGCCACAAGGCAATTCAAACAAGCCCCCCACCCCCCTCCGGGTCTTGGCAACCCAGTCCTTCCCAGATTTCAAGAACCAATCATGGCCCACTGCCCTGCACCCCGTTTCTGCCCTGTCCCTAGGGCTTTCCAACACATCTGTGGCCAAGCCGCCTCAGGTATAGAGTAGAGGGTCACACAGCCAGCACAGGCAAAGCCATATTCGAGCACACCAAGGACCCCCAGAGGTGTTTCAGGTGCGTTTCCCAGAAAATTGTTTTGTAGCTGGTCACCAACTGGGGTGCAGCTACGCAAAACCATGAGCCCTGTACCCTCCGACCCACAGAGCCCAGGGCAGAGTATGTTAACCAAAGTGAGGACATAAACACAGGGGTCCCCTTCATGGAGGACCTGAGTGGAACACCAGCAAGGGCCAAATCACCCTGGAGCATTGTCAGCTGCCAAGTCCAGACCCAGGACATCAACTCAGAGACACTTTTATTTGCATGTTGGCTTAAGCCCTCTTTTTCAAGTTCAAGGAGGCCAAGTTACAAGTGTTGGCAAAATGGAGGCAGGAAGGCTGGGAAGTCCCCCCTTGCTCTGCCCTCCTCCCTTTTTCAAACTGAGCACTTAGAAGTTAAAACCCCGGGCAATGCCACCCTGACCTATCAGCTTCTTTCTTTACATTCTTTGGGATATAGTATTTAAAAAAAATAATAAATGCACAATAGATAAGATGAGGGTCACTGGGTAGAGATATGGGAGGTGCTGCCTGTCCCTCTGTCCACCTCTATTTACAAGTCTGGAGGGAGAGAGTAGCTGCTGGGACCTGGGAGGGAGGCACCTTAGTGGCTGATGGGAGGTGGGCACAGGATGCTCTGAGGTCCCCAGGGAACCCTCACAGCTGATCTTCTTGTTCTCCCTGCTCTGCTTCTGCTCTGGCCTCAGCCCTTAGCACCCTGAGGTTCCTGGCCTCACCTGCCCTGGGGACTCTCTTGGGCAGGGTTGGCAGCCGGGGAGTGTGCCAGAAGGCTCTTCTGCGTTTTCGAAACCATGAAAAGCGCCCAGGGGTCTGGAACCTCACGGTCTTGACCTGTTTCCGAGCCCCAGCCCCTGGGGCTGCCCCGGCGGCCCCCAGACCAGCTGAGGCTTCGGCTTCCTGGATAGCCTGGGCCTCCCCAGCCTCTTCCCTCTGCTCAGCTGAGGCCCTGGCCCTCTGGTCAGCTGGAGCCTCTATCCCCTGGTCAGCTAGAGCCTCTGCCCCCTGGTCAGCTAGAGCCTCTGCCCCCTGGTCAGCTGGAGCCTCTGCCTCCTGGTCAGCTGGCACCCCTGCTCTCTGAATGTCTGCAGCCCCTGCCCCTTGGTCGGCTGGAGCCTCTGCC